TTCCTGCCAATCAGTGCTCCTGAGGGTACCTCCCAAGCACTGTCCACACCAGCGTCACTCTTGTGGAAAGATCAAGAAAAACTTAAGACTTCAGTTTGTGCACCTCCAAACCAACTGTTTCTGCATTGTCTGGCTCTTTTCAGAATGGTTAAATCAAGAATGGTTGAATGAGGTCCCAACTTTTTTTTGAAGGAAATATAAAGGGGGGGGGGCTGTTTGGTAACCTCAAAGAACTCACTGAAATATGAGATACTGGTCAATTTACTACTCAAAATCAAAGATTCTTCTGACACATTTAGATCGTGGCATCATAATGCAGATTGCTGATGGGTTGCTCACCTTTGGCAAGATAGAGGAATTGGTACCAACATCCATAAGATGGAGGCTTGTAAGTGTTCCTTTCAGTCACTCCTCCATGCATCAGGGGCCACCTACATAAAAACAAATTTTAAACAAGCATTTTTCAAAAATCCTTTGGTCACAAAGACTGTACCAAATGTAATCAAACTCAGATCTGATTCCTATTCATACCCATCTCTCTCACCTTGCATTTGAATCTTGTCAAGACAAAAAAATGGAACTATTGAGGGGTTTTCACCTCAACTCTATTAATTTGCCCCCATCCCCCCAAAAACTCTTAAAGGCACAAAAGCACTACTGCTTAAGGGATTGAAGTTCCCAGTGAACTGTGATGGGGATTTCTGCCTTACTTTGTGTAGAAAAGGGACTTACACACTGCTGATATAAACACGACAAAATGATTCTCTAGACCATTTCCGCATTAGTTACCATTAACAGAGAGCATCCACGGCACGTCATTTTGATACACCCTATTCATGTAGTTTGGCATCATTATTTATATGACCATCACACGGATCAAATATTTCACAGTTAGTACTAATCTCCAGGGTGCAAGATGTGTTTTAGCAGCTGAAGCTCAAAATAGCTCTGGCACTTTGTTACTTTGGTCTTAAATGTTCAACTTTTTACATGTACCTTACACATCATACCTCTCCTGGATGATGAGCAAGAAACCTTTAGGCACCAGTGAGCCCTTAGCTATTATTCTCTGCTTTACTTTAAAGTTTTTCAAACAACTTACCTCAGGAAATCCACTCCTTTCCTCCATTAAATCTTGATCTATGAGGTCATCATCTGCTGAATTTAAACTGGACAAAGAATACATACCCCTTAAGCAAAGAAATTTACATCTTTTTTTGAAAATGGGTGGAGGATGTTCGATTGTGCAAAAACGACGATATGATTTGTTGTTACAAATGGATTTGGGGGACAATAAAAAAAATTTACAAATAAAATTTTTATTATGGGTTTTTTAATTTGTTGTTTTTTTATAAGTTCTATTTATAAAAACACCTTTCTGGTGTGTCATTCAAGGTGGATTGGGGTACACGAGTCAAAATTAAGAGGTACAAAGAAACTTCTTGGGTGAACTTGAGTCGAAAGTCACAAAAGGTTGAATTTTAGGTTCATTAATTAAAGCTTTTTAATCAAACATTCTTCATTAAATACTTAATTTGGCTGAGAATAACAAATTTTCGGTCACATGCATGATTACAAAAGCCTCTTCATTTTACAAAACTTTGGAAAATAACAAATTTTAACGTGCCAAAACGTTTCTTTATACAATCCTTTAATATAAAGATCTCTGACATACATGAATGTCTATATTGAAAACTTGCTTGAATTTTTTAGATAGGTGATTCAAAACACATGGTGCGACATTTGACTGATTTCCAATTCCAGAAAGCAGAGAATATATTGGGAAGGTCACGGAAAATAGGCCCACCTTGTGAAGGTCCCAGCTCATCGCTATGACAAGGGAAGCCCCTAACAATGCATTACCACACCCATTACCACTGATTGGTTTGCCTTCTCCAAGAACAGTGCTCTACCTTACAGCGTACCACCCTCTACCCCTGAACGGATGCAACAATAGCAGCATTTGCATTAATTGTGGTAACAGAGCCAGGCTCTTATTTGGCTCGAGCAGAGGTACCCCCTCATTGGTTGAAAAGAGCTATATTGGTCGGGGATGCTCATTTTGTTGGTAGCGACACGGCCCCAACACGTGCATTTCAGTCATTTTGTGAACCAGCTAAGTTCAGTTTCCACCAAAGGTGGCTCTGTTGCTAAGAAAATTGCGCCCTCTCTTGATTCAATTCAAAGCTCATAGAGAGCCACATGACCTACTGCACCTGTACAATTGGCATCCCACATTTGTGGGTCATTGTTAGGACCCCTTTCGCCATTTGTGATTGTTCGCATGTCTTGCATTGGTGTCCAGTGAACTCTGTTATACAGCTCTGGGAAACGATGAAGACTCATGGTTGAGTTTTAAAAATGAATGCACTTGTACAATTTTGAAAATATCTTAGTACAGTTGTTTTAATAAGTTACAACAGGTGCACTCTGATTTCACAAGAAAAAACTTATACAACCATAGAATGCTGGCCCTCAGAATTGTTTTTAAGTTCATGTTTTTTGTTGGCATTTTAACAATTGTTTAAAACACAACAAAAACCCACTGGTACTTTGCCAGTCAATCAATGCAATATGGCACATCTTTTCAGAGTTGCAAACAAAAGTTTCAAGAACTGGTCAACAAAAGTTTCAAGAACTGGTCAACCCTGCAAGTGGCGCTTCTTGAAAAACTTATTCTTGGTTCTTGCATTCCCGAGTCTTATGCTCACAAGATCCATCTGCACCCTCATGGTTGAAAAAAAAAGGTTGGTTTACCTTTCAAGTAAGCAGATCCTGCTTGTCTCTGTCTCATTTGGTTTGCATCATTCTGCCGATCATCAATATTCTTTGACAGGAAACAAGGAGAAAAGTTTGGTTTTTGAGTTTTTAAGAGGGGGTAAATAGGAGGGTTAACAAACACATGTGCAATGAGGCCTGTCAGTTCAAATGACCAAAAAATGAACAAAAGTCAAAATACCTTAATACCCTATGGTGAGGTTAATCCTGGAAGGGCTGGGTTATTTTGACCTATCTTACCACTGTAAGTGGGGGCATTCCATGTGCCATGCTGGACTTTTAACCACTTCATGCCAGGGCATTTTTCAATGTTGATGATGCTGGGCCGGCATGACTATCATTTTTTCCGTTTTCAAAATCCTTCAAAAATTCATCATTTCATTTAATAGTCGTTTATAGCTGCACCAAGTAATCTTTAAGCACCACTCTAAGTTGACAGGTTGACCTTCATTGATGCCCGAATATTTCAGCCAGGCCTACAGCCTTGTAAACAGAGCCCAGATTGTGCGGTGTTATAACTGTCTTTTGTTCACGAACCTGGCTTAGTGCACTGCTGACCTCTTTTCAATAGGGGCCAGATTAGCATGCAGCGGTGCTGTGTGGCTCATTGCTGCAATGGTGGAGCGCTTTTGTCCCCGGTGCTCTCAATGCCCCAAACCCTGGTATAAGGTTTCAAAAACAAGGCTGGATTATCACCACTTTTGAGGGTGAAAAATGTCTGTAATGCCCAGTAGCCTGGTCTTTTGTTCGGAGTCCGGTCTTTTGTTACAGGGCCCTGTTCCCTTTGTCCCTTTGTCCCAGTTCAGAGACCCCGGCCACCCATATAAACCATACGTCTCTGATCCCGGAGTTCCTGGGAGGAAGTGGTTAAAACTTGGCATGCATGAAAAAGCACTCCTTGTTATTTCACGTGAAGTTTGAACTCAATACATAGCGATTCACAATAGCGCACCTCCAAGAGTACACAATGCGTTGGCCAATGACAATGTGCCAAATCTGTTGACCCTTTCCAAACGTGCATTGGTCAACAGATCTCACACACTGTGATTGGCCAATGCGTTACAAACTTTTGGGGCGCACTATTGTGAAACGCTTGTATTGGGCCACAGCGTATGGTTTTGTCGTTACGGTCAACTGAAGTTCATGCCTACACGTGTGCCAGCCTGTGTACACTGAGCACCACTGTGGAAAAGTTTACATTTTTGGCTGACCCATCTTGGAAAAACTGATGTGGCGCTAGAATGGCATGTTCGATTTTCACATAACTGATGTCAAACTGGCTGCAAAGAGTTACTCTAAAAGTCTAAAAAGCTCAATTCCTGATAAAATTTTACTGGGGCGATATCGGAAATAATTGCCCTCCCCCAAAGGTCAAGGGAGCTTTTTACTGTTACTTTTATACACACACAAATCAAACATCTCGTGTTCTTATAGCTTTTGAAATCAAGGTAAATAGTTTCCCATTATTTCAAAGTCATGTAGGGCTCTGAGCTGTCAATGCATCATTATTGCAAGTAAAATTCCATTTTTATCCATCAAATTAATAACAAAGTGCTATCAAAAGATTTTGCTTCAAGCTTGCGCCCTTTTTAAGAGAATGCTCATTTGGGAGAATGGTTTAAATATTTTTTCCTTACAAGCAACCAAAAGCTAAGAAAAAAAAATACAACAGATTTTGTCTTGTTTTAATACAGAATAAATTAAATACAAAATGTAAAATATGACAATATCAGACAAACAGAGTTTCTTCAGAGAAGATAAAAACTTTAAAACTTCATCTTTTAACCACAAACTGTCAGCTTTATCTGGAAATGAGGGTATTCAGTTAATATGTAAACACTGATATACAAGTACAGTGGAACGCCGCTATAACGAACAAGACGGGGTCCAGGCTAAATGTTCGGTACAGGGGTCATTCGGTATAGCGAATTTAATTGCCAAATGTTTCGGTGCCATGTTGAACAGCGCCCTCTCTTGTCTAACTGAAGTGCACCCTCTTGTGATACTATATAGTTCGCTGTTTTCATGATATTTTGCCGTTGCATTCAAGTTTAAGGTTTCTAGAAATGTATCTGTTAATTATATATTTTTTTTATTTAATCTTGAGTCTCAAAATTGATACCAAGTTTATCGTAAAAGTCGTGAAGCTACCGCTCAGGATCGATCTCTGATCCATGCTGTGGCAAAACCAGTGTCTATTCAATACCATTGACAACTAGTGGCTTTCCCTTTTAATCCTTGGGGAAATAATGGCCACTAGTCACTTTCCAACGTAAAAAACACCAACTGTTTTATCATGTTGACGTTATGGAATTACAAACGGCAACTGAATAGTGTTCGGTAGGTTCTGTGCACAAATTATTGGGAGCCAAGGATGATGTTCGGTACAGCCGAAAGTTCGTTATAGCGGTGTTTGATATAGCGGCGTTCCACTGTAACTGCATACGTGATGTGCATTTAATGAAAATAAACGGTTATTCTAGACTGATTTTTTTACCATTCATCTATGAACAATCAGTGCAAGCTACTATTTTTCCATTAGTTTGTTGCAAAGTGGGGACAAATATTTTTCCAATCAAATTTGACATAACATGCATTCGTACATATACTACAATTGTTGATACATGTACAAGAGTTCTTTTGCAAGAAGTTCCAAGTCTAACTCTTTGTCCATGTTGCAGTGGAATACATACATTCATGTTTTCAGACAGTATTCCGCTCTTCAACTCCTTTGGTCAACTCCATGGACTGCTGTGAGGGGAGCTGGGAGCCCTGTGCAAGTCCACACTTGCAATATTGGTCACCTTGCTCAGCTTCCTTTCAATCTGGTGAAATAAAGTAAGCAAGAGATTCTATTACCACACTGACTTTACATGAACAAGATGCAAGAATGTTTGAAAGAGTAGATACATTTTCCACTTTTTAGAAACTCAGTGTAGAGTATATAAAACACTTGTAATCCTTACTTTTAGGAAAGGTCTGTTTTGAAATTTTTCTTTCATACATTAAAAAAAAAGATTTTCACAATATCTATAGGTCTAACAATTACTTTTCAACCTCGGCAGTCTTCTTTCCGTATATGGTACCGTTTTTTTTATTTTTTGGAAATTATGCAAAATATGTACCAGTTTTGACAGTGGCTGTTCTCTACCATAATATGGGGCCAGGATCCTCGGAGTAAGAAGAAAACTGTATAAGAGTTGAGCTGCTTGCCGGTAAACAGTAATGAAAGAGGAAATGGCGGCATGGCAGTGTTTCAACAAAAATTACACCTTTAATCTCTCCTGCAGTTTTAGTTTCTTTCTTCTACATCAATACTCTGTCATATTAATGAGTATTCTAGCCTGGAAAGTTTGCTCCCTTAGCATCTCAACAGGCTTCTCCTTTTACAAAAAAATTGACTCTTCCAATTTTCTATTTCATTTATTTCAATGTTTATAATTATTCTTTATTTCTCAAATTCAAGATATCTAAAGTTCAAGATATTTATCTTCATCAGCTTGGGTCACTCAGGTCCCCCCCCCCACAAGTTCTGCTTCAGTTTACACACAGGGTTGCTAGATCAGAATATTTTGGAGCGGGAGGTCAATTTTTTTGTGCTGATTGTATGGAGTATTTAGCTAAATTTCAGCTTGGACTAATTCCATTTGCGCTATAAAAAACTGATAAAAACTTGCCTTAATCAATGTAAACCGTTTGAAAAATAATGGAAGTTTCTTTTCAAAAGTCATTAATGTAACAAATGTAACTGGGCAAACATATAAATACAAACATTTTGTTGTGAAAAAGGTTCACGAGAGGTGTTTTGCTAGTAAAAAAATGACAACAGGATTAAAAAAAAATGTGCAAACTTGTTTTTCTAACTTGCCGAAATAAAATCAGGGTGAGTCAGGAAACCAAAAGCAAAACTATTTTGGCTTCATGTATTGACCTATTTTCTGGTATCTCACCATCTTCTAGAAATGTAATTTTCACCCAGAATCTTGATGTTCATTCCTATTAAATTCTTCAAGTGTCAAATTTTCATCTAGATGCGACTCCCAAACCTTCAGCCCTGACGTATTAAATAGCCCATGAATAAATATTTGTCAATTTTCAAAACAATTATACATCAATCTTGTTGAAGAATTGTAATACCATTTAAGTCATTCAAAAATTCTACGGGAAACAGAATTGTTGACTCGAGTCACGTGACTTGGACTCGAGTTGGACCTGAGTCGTTATTTTTGTGACTTGTTACTTGACTTGTAAATACCAACTTTGACCTGTGACTTGCTTTGGACTTGCAAAAAATGACATGTTACCAACCCTAGTCAGACACTACTCGACCGGCGTCATATATCTTAAATTAAGCTATTCAGTTTACACCTTACGTAAATAAAAATGGACTTCGGCTTGCACGGCTTCTATTGCACCTACCTGCAGCTGTAGATCAGGGCAGAATGCATATCATGCTGTAGACGTGTGACTAGGATAAGCAGCGCCCTCAATACGTCATCATTTCATTTCAATGCTTATTTCCATCCTGCAAAGTACATTTATTAAATTAGAGTTCCAATATGCAACAGATATGTGATAAACTGCAAGAATAGTAATTTCAACACAAGTGAAAAGGGGAGTTACAGAGGCATTGTCGAAATAATTGGAGAAAAGGTGTTCATCTGTCCGAGATTCACAACTCGTGAATTCATAAGTTGCCACCTGGTTCTTTTTGCTTAATATTACAGATGGACAAAATAATGGGCAGCTTGACTTGTACTTGGACAAAGAGACTTGTGACTTGACTTGTGTTTAGACCAAATGACTTGTGACTTGACTTTCCCTGTGACCAAATGACTTGTGACTGGACCTAACGACTTGCGACTTGACTTGGACTTGCATATGACGACTTGTGACTTGACTTGGACTTGCAAAAAATGACTTGCTGCCACCTCTGGGGAAAGAGTTTCATATATGCATATAACTTGGCATTCTCTGCACCATGGAGCTATAGCTCCATGTCTGCACAAACCCTTTCATGCCTAGTATGAGACACGTAGGAAAAATTCTCTAAGTCTATTGTAGGAGGAAGGAAAACGGTAGGGCCTACTTTCCTTCGAAATTTTCCCTGTTTAAACTTTAATTTGACTCTTTAAGACATGCTACTTTCTGATGGCTGTAGGGAGAATTAAGAGATGTGTATGGAACTCTTTCCGAGCGTAGCACTGTGGAAAAACAAATGAACGGTGTTCATTATTACGGCTTTCCAAATCACATACCCCCACAACCAGACAACTGTGGGGTTTGACAGCTCTGGGGGTACCATAGACAGCTAAGCTACTGGGGACCATTTCTCTAAATTTTCGGAGATATTTTCGAAACTTTCTACCAAAGGTAACCACCAATCAACCAGCAAGCCTTATGTTGGTATTTGGATGCAAAAAGGTTGGAATTTCAGGACGAAACCTGCAAACATACCTTAAGCTTTCCATGGCTTGGTCTCATCGACATTGCATTCCTTCGGAGCCCGCGAAGTGCATGGCGTACCATACGGGCACTACATACACGTGATAGTCTTCAGCTTTAATTTTCTGCGTCGGACTGATATTTCAGGGGGAGCTCGGCCTGGTTTTGAACGGGCTGCGCTGTCGGTCTACGCATGGAGAAATGGAGATGGTCTAAGGTTCCCTAAGTTGATTTCACTCTTCGTTAGTAACCATCCCTCCCTTCTCCTGCAACCTCGATTTAGTAAATTCCAAATGAGATTAACCGATGTGAAGTTAGTTCCTCGTTCCTCGTTTGACGTTCGACATTCAACGTTGAACAAGTAACTGTTCCATATTCGAACGTTGAATAAGTTATTTGCTAATTCGAAACTCAACCTCGAATAAATAATTTTCTATCGCGCCACCTCGCCTACTCTGCCCCCCCAACCTGTAAGAGAAAGAACATGTGGTATGCAACAACTTGGGTAACATCGTTCTTCGGCGACGAGCTACGGGCGAACAGCTCCAGCTACAGGTCTGCCTTATCATAGTTTTCACTATGCTGTGAAATAGTTTCATGAAAGAAAGGACGTTTTTAGTATTAACCTCTAGTTCTATCTATTAAACGGCAAGTCTTGCGTCCGGGGATTGTTCCACACCAAAGAACCACATACGCCGAGATGGGAGGAGTCCCTCCCCGATTCAAAAGACCAATGACATCAG